GTACGGTAGCAGTGTGTTGGCAGATGGAGGGGGGGAGGGAGGGAGAGAGGAAAGAAGGAGAGTCGTGCGGTCTGCTAGAGCCCTCGGGACTGCGGAGTAGAGACGAAATGAAACGGAATTGATACCGGTACTGTGGCTGGAGCCTCACTACCATACCGGTAGCACAACTACCTCTGCTCGCGGGCAAGCTAGCAAGCCAGTGGGTCCTTACTGGTACTGTACCATAATGTACCCTTATCCTTAAGCTGACAGCTATGATACCATATCAGCTATGATAGCTAGATTGGTGGAAACCCTGAAGCTCTGCCAATGAGGTCATACCCCCCCCCCTTCCCGAACCTCCAGTGCGGTATTGCGCTCCACGCTTGTCACTTTGCAGCTTTCGCTTGATGGTATCATACCTGTAAAGCTAGAGACGGGAGGGGAAATCACTGGAGGGCTGGCAATATATGTATAGTATGTATGTATGTATGTATGTATGGATAGATGGATAGATGAATGAATAGATAAGGTGGAGAGCACGGCGCTTGCACTATACGAGTGCAATCTCATACAAGTAGGGCCCACAGGTGATTATGAGCTTTTGAAATAGTATGGCAGCAATCATACTCGAGTAGCCTATCGGGATGGACTTTTCGCCTTTTGTAGTAAGTTATATATGGGAGAGAAGGGGGAAGGCCGCTGAGGGTATTGACGGCCTGGTGCACTGTTCTACGAGTACGGGGGCTGGACTGGTTGGTATTCGAGCAGGTTCTATCCGTGGGCAGGCAGGCCGTGGAGGGAGGGAAGGAGTGTCCCGGGTTGCCCTACAAATTGCTGCGCACTGCTGCCGATATTCTACCGGTGCTCGAGCATGATGCTCGTGATGTCTCCAGTCCAGTTAGCTGGTTGGTTGGGGGGTTAAGGACTTGATGCATGATTATTGCACCCTTCAAGCCTTTACCTCCCATAGCAGTTAGGGTGAATTTTCCCCGATTCTTTTACCTTTTTTTACTCGGAACCGACGTGTAGTTTCGGAAGGCATATGCCTCGACTGCACAGTATATGATAAGCTACCGGTACTGGAAACAACGCTTGCTGCTGTAGGAGAAGAACCCGCATGACGGAAAACTCGAAGAGTGCCTGGCGGCTAGGACACATGAAGTCTTGCTTCCTTCTCCTTCCCTTCCTCACTCCCATCGCGGATCACGGCAGACTAGGCTCAGGGGAGGGGGGAACTGCGGTAGGTAAAGTGTCGGCACTGCCGTGTAGTAGTGGGTCGTGTGCTTTGGGCCTGTCCCGGATGCGGGAGTCCCTGTGCGTGGAGTGGGTGCTGCCGTAGGTGGGGAAGTGAGAGAAGGAGAGAAAGGAAGGAAAGAAAAAAAAAAAAAGATTTGACCAACGTGGCAGGCTAGGGAATATTCAGCGCCACTGGCGAACTGGCTCATGCATACCCGGTGCTCGAGAGGGTATGTACGGTACTCAAGTACAGTAGATACCGCATGTACTGTATGTATTGTACTCGTACATATGTTTCTATGGGTTGGGTCGGATTGGTGTCTGGAGGAGTCACCGTCATTCTCCAGTTCACTTCCTTGCGGAGGAAGAGAATTTCCATGGCTCGCCTCCTTACTGCGCCCACCGTGCTGAGTCACGGCAAAGACCGAATATGATAAAAGTTGGGGTTTGTAAAACGCACAAGATTGTACGCCCATCCAACAGCTAGCCGTACCGTACTCGTACTATTCTCGTAGACGTGCACGCCGAGTCGCCCGGGTCTATTCTCTTATTCTCTGCGGGCGAGGGAACGACGAGGCCCCTCCAGATCGATAATGGTGGTCTCTCCGGGATGGACAGGCTGCGGCTACAGATGCTGGCGGGTGAGCGAGGTAGTCCGTCGCAGTGAGCTGTTTGCACGGTAGGGCTACGGGGGGGGGCAGGAGGGGAAAATTGGAGGAAGGAAGGAAGCAAGGAAGGAAGGAAGGAAAGCAGGGAAAACTGGCGTGATCGAGGCGCGGACCCGATGGGACGGTTGGTTGCTGAAGTCATGTCATGGCGCTGACGTGCTTGTGTCTGGGCTTGATGGGTGACCTGGCCGAGTCTTCAAACATCTTGCGATATTGTTGGTCGTTGTTGTCCATACGGTACTTATAGTCTACACTGGGAAGGTTGGCTGTTTGTTTTCTTTTTTTTTTCTTTTTTCCTTTGTGCTCTTTTCCTTTCTTTTTGCTGGCTGTGCCCTAGATCTTCACTTCCTTGTTTTCTACGACTTTCTCCTTGCGCTCGAGGAGGGGGGCACAATATTCCCGTTTTTGCGGTGCTTGTACAGAAAAGTGGGAAGGGGGAAAACGGCACACGCGCGGCGGACTTTTGCACTCTAGGTGTTGGAATGGAATGCTGATATCCACCCCCATATATAACTCGTCCCAACTTTTTTTTCTCCCAACAGTCCCTGTAACCCAGTGCATCTCGACATCTTCCTCTTATCTTCAATCCCCCTCCACGGATACTCAGGGTATCCCAAAGCTCTACTGGTATCTACCTCTCTTTCCACGTTAAACCAAGTGGAACCGGTACCAAGTTCCAGCCTCCAGACATCACCGCCCAACCATTTGTCTTGGCAGTGGGTGAGCAAGGAAAAACGTGAATCCCCATCAAGCGGAATCAGAACAGGCCAGTTATCGGGGGCATTGCGGATAGGAGCGAAGCCAACCGGTTGACATCCGTTCATCCAAGATATCGTCTCATCGACTGCAAGCATAGGTGATTTGGAAAGTCTTTTTTTTTTTGTCTGCCAGCGAATTTTTTGGACGATAATTGCCCCGTCATATTTATCCCGGACCATCCCCTGCCAGACCATTCGCTCGGGTGTCACAGATCCTATCTGGCTGGCTTTGGTCAATTCACACATTCATCCCCCCCGCACAGCGTCTCGCACCCCACTGTGGATACCTGAAATCTTTCCATTTATCCACGGCATACATCTCGTTTTCTTGCTGCACAGAGGTGGTTTCTTCTGAGAGCGTTATCGGCAGAGGAACTGAAGAGATGATTAACTTGGAGTGACCTTGCCTCCGACCGCCATCACCGGAGAACTTTCATTCCCATTATCTGTGCTTTTTTTTTTTTTTTCCACCCCTCCTCCTCCCTCCCACCATCAACCTTGGCCCTTGGAGTGGAGGGACGGAAACACTCCCTTCTACCGTATATAGATTGGCAGCCCCCCCGTTTCGGGGTTTTCTTCCTGGTTGTTCTTCTCGTCCACCGTATTTTGGGCCCCGCCTCCTCTGTCTTTGTTATACTGTATTTGAACCATTGAGGTTGTACGACGGCTGCTGCTTGGCTTTTTCCGGCAAGCATTCGCACTTTATTGCTTCTGCGGAAGTTCTTATTCGAGGTGAGTGACAACACAACAGACCAGCTCTGGACCCGATGTTCTTGTCCAATTGATTGGTTCTATTGTAACAAATTTTTTTTCCTTTCCCCTTAGTCCCTTTCCTTTCCTGCTCACATTTTTCCCTCTCTTTTTTTTCGCCCATTCCTGCTGCTGCTGCTTCTCTGTTGTGCGTCTTTCCTTACGGTTGGTCAGTAGGTGACTGGCTGCCTGTGCCCTGTGGAGTCATTGTATGCGTTCGATCTGGCACGGGTTATTTTTTAAAAAGAGTTCGGCGAACGTTAAGTAACGATTGTTGGGGATAACAGGGTATTTGAATTTTTTTTATTTTTATATTTTTAATTCGGTTCATTCTTCCTTCCGAGACGAAAGGAAAAAAGGTCGTTATCATACATACAGTACTGTCGTGCCTCCTCTCTCACCGAGCTCCCAATTCCCGAACAAGGAGTTATTGAGAAAACACCGCTGTTTGGTAGGGGTTGCATGAAAGGTACTTGCAAGTTGCTTGTTTTCTTTTCGAATATCCCTTCCCATCACCCCCCCACCCCTTCTGTTTGACTTGGCCCCCCCCCCCCCACCTCCCCTCCTTCTCCCCACCACACACTTTGTGAATATTGGGATTCCTTGCGAGTCGAAACACCAGCCAATACTTCGCTGGATTCTCCCTCCCTCAGAACCCCAAGTTGCGAGAGGAAGAGGAGGAGAAGAAGAAGGGGGAAGCAATCTCATTTCCATTTATATGTGACTCTCAGCTCACTCTGAACCTTTCACAGCTTACACCCACAACCACCGCCCCATCTCTCACTTCGCCCCTCGTGAACTCCCCATCGCAATCCAGGCTCAATCTTATCTACTTGTCTCTCCTGTGATCCGGGCACTCGCATATTGCCTTCACACCAAAGTCCTGCCAAAGTCCTGCATCCTTGACATCTTCTTTTCTCCATTACATCCAGCTGCCGGAACACGGAACGCTTGATTGCGGAGAACCCCCTATACGAAACGACTTACTCTCCTCCCTCATCTCCTCAAACCCGTTCAAGTGTCGGAGGATTAGCATATCCTTTGGTAGAGGAGAGGAATCCCCTTTGCTCTTTAGCTCTCCTGTGACTGATAAGTTGCCGCTATCACCCTGATCTCCAGGAAAATCGTGCACATCATCTGCGCTCCTTCTACCTTTCTAGGGACCTCCCTTTTCCAAAACAGAGGGGCGCGAGCCCCCGATCAACGATACCATTTCGCCCCATCGCTTTAGATAAAGAGTTTATTCTTTCGATTGTTTATATACTTTGGGTTTCATCTTATTCCCGAAGCCTCTCTTTCTTGTCGGTTATCAGTTTTTACCCCACGCAATCTTGATAACAGGTAAACAATGCCGTAAGTAGACAAACGTTTCTCTAAACAATTCTCCAGAATGGGCCTTTGCGACAAAGTTACAGATTTTGTCGAGTAGTTGGTGCGATGATGGAGAGTCTCTTTGATGAGGTTGTCTATTCGGGCCATCAATTGCCTGCTGTGAAATTCGTAGTTTGCTTATTGTTTTTTTGTTCGCTCGTTTGCTCATGTATAATGTAGTATCAACATCACAATCGATCATACTTCGACGACTCAAGGGTCGTCAGAGTCTTCTATGTCGGAGGAAGAGGGCTCGAGCGGTGTCAATGTTCCATACGGACATCACCAGCAGCAGGCCTTGCCCTTTTACCCTCAGCAACCTAATTCCCATCATTCCCACCATCCTCGGACGGATTACTCGGATTCGTTTCAAGACTGGGAGGAAGTACATGGCGAGGAACTGGGGCCGTCTGATTCTGCGTCGCGGCCACGAACAGCAAACCGACAGCCCGAACCTCGTCCACGCCACGAGCCGCGCCGCTCACGACAGCATAGTCCTCCCCGCCACCTGGGAACAGCTCCCCCACCGGCCCACCACTCCTCACACAATAGGCATCACCCACGGCAGCCCGCTCCTTCCGCCCCGCAAACACATTCCGACAGCGATTCTGAAGATCTTCATTATGCTCGGCAGCCTCAGTCCTCCGGCCCTTCATCTCCTTGGGGGTCCGGACCGGGTGCTTCGCCAACTTATCCACCTGCATCAGGACCATATCACGGCTACGGTCGTGAACAGCCCCCACCGGCACAGCCAAGAGGTTATCAGAACCCGCTTGCCTTGGTTCCTGCTACCCCGCCCGCACACCCGGGTCACCTCCCCGGCCCTAATCCCTTAGCAGGTGGGCCGAACCCCCTTGCCTTTGATCACAACGGTTATCCTGCGCACCACCAGGACCCGTATTCACGCCATCCCACGCAACCACACCATCCGGGCCACTACCCGGGCCATTCTCCACCACATCCAGCATATCCTGGTCAACCTCAACACTCTCCATATCCACCGGGTCACGGCGGTCACAGCAGTCGCCGATCTGATCCAATGTCGTCGTATAATCAGTATGGACAGCCTCATGGTGCCGGATACCATGCCCCCCACCACCCACACGGTCGCCCAGGTCACCCGGGCCATCCTGCGCATTCACATCTAACCCACGGCCAACCTCCAATGTCGAATGCTTTGACTCGTCATCAGCCAGATCCCTATGGATACTACTCTAATAGCCCTTATAATCCTTATGGCCCAAATCCGTATGGAGGTGGATACTTTACTTCCAGCTCTCATCCCCATCATTCCATGAACCAGATGGCAACAATGAATTCAATGATGGTGATGGGGCCGCAAGGATACCCGATTCCGTACCCTATGCCCACTCAACCCTCCCCGAGTCCTCCCCCTCCCGCTGATGATAAGCCGCCGGAGAAGACTGAGGAGGAGAAGCGTGAGGAGGAGAGATGGGCCACATTGCAAGCGGAGAGGAAGCTCAGGCAGGAGATGATGGAGGAAGAGCGCAGGTGGCATCAGGAGAAGTTGGATCGCGAGAGAAAGGCAGATGAGGAAGCGAGAGCCCGCGTGGAGGCCGAGGCCGCCGCTGAAGCAGCTGCAAAGGCCGAAGCAGCCGCCAAGAAGGCTGCCGACGAGGCTGCTAGAGCTGAGGCGGAAGCTAAGGCTAAGGCTGAGGCCGAAGCAGCCGCAAAGCTAGCTGCTGAGATTGCCGCTGCCGCTGAAAAAGCGCGTGAGGAAGCTACTAGGGAGGCCGAGGAGAAGGCTAAAACTGCCATTGCTGCTGAGAGGGCTAAAGCTGAGGCGGATGCTAAGGCCAAGGCTAAGATCAAGCCGAAGCCTGTCAAGTTCAGAGACGCTGTCGGCCGAAAATTTTCGTTTCCGTTCGAGCTCTGCAGGAAATGGAGTGTACGTTTGCCCCTCGTACTACCCGATGTTATTGTACTAACTCTCTACAGGGCATGGAAGAACTTATCAAACAAGCATTCTTGCACGTCGAAGTCATTGGCCAACACGTTATCGACGGCCACTACGATCTCCACGGTCCCGACGGCGAGATCATCCTACCGCAGGTTTGGGAGTCGGTAATTGAGCCTGATTGGAGCATTACAATGCACATGTGGCCTATGCCCGAACCGGAGCCGGAACCACCAGCGCCTCCCCCACCGCCACCTGCACCGGTCGAGCCAGAGCCGGCACCAGTTCCTGAGCCTACCGCACCAGTAGCGCCGGCTCCACCACCGCCACCACCGCCTCCGCCAGTCGAGCGCGAGCCAACCCCCCCGCCAGCCCCCCCGCCGGCTCCCCCGCCAGCGCCTGCGCCCACATCCGCGCATCCACCACCACCACCTCCAGTTGTTGTTGTTGCCGAGCCAGCTCCTGAGTTTAGAGAAGCTATGCCAGAGCCGGTGTACCATCCCCCGCCTCCACTGCATCATGTGCTCGCTGTCGCACCGGAACCTCCACGCCCGAAGCCTGTCCCAAGTATTCCGCCGTTGCTGATGTGGACTGCTGGGCGTTACGGGTCTAAGAAGGGGCGTCGTTAGAGAAGGATTTTCGTTCGATTACCACAAGTTTGGTTCGAGGGGTGTTTAATTGTACTAAATGTACAATTTCTATTTTCTTTTCTCTGCCTTGTCTTTTTTTCTCTCTTACATACCCCACCTTTTCACCATCATCATCAATTTCGCTTCTTGCCCCCATTTCCATTTTAGTCCATGCCGCGTTTCCCCACCTTTATTTTTTCTTTTATTTTCGTGCCGAAAAAAAAAAGAACACTGGATGGGACGGACGTACGCAGGCCGGCGGACTGGAACGCGAATAAGGGGCGGATTTTTCCTATATCATGTTTTTTTCTAGCGGGTCTGAATGAAGATGGAGTTTTCGGTCTGGCTTTTTCTCTTCCCTTTTCCGTTTCTGGTTGTATTGTATTTTAAGTTGACGGAACTCCTTTCATGATGGTGGAGGGGGGGGACATGATATGTTATTATGCTGTGATGTAGGCTAGGTTGGGGTAATGTTTGTGTGTAGTTTTTTGCAAAAAAAAAGGGTAATGCTGGGATTGTATTTCCTATCAGATTTTTACTATTATATACCGTGGAGGTTTGGGACTTGCGAGTGAATGTTGCGCGCCGGAGGTATGATTAGTGATCCAGTCTACCTGAAAGGCTTGTATCGTTAAAAAAGTAGAGCGTCGGGAGAGGTGAAGCGCTTTTTTTTTTCACGTGCTCCATGACACGATAGCCCGGCGTAGTTAGTTACAATCGTAGTATTACGATAAGTTGCCCGAAAGTATCATATCAATCTACGCCAGAACACTCCAGGGCATTTGCCCTTATACTCCACTCCGTGCACGCTCTTCCCCCCCCTTTCCCAAGGCCGCGAACAAAGTCCAGAGAGGCGATCTCGGGATCCCAAGGTGCATACACCGGGGCACTTCTTGACCACGCGCGGTTCTGGGGTTTTTGCGGGGTCCGGGGGAAGTGGTTCTGCTTGAGTTTCGAAGTTGGCTGGTTTACAGTATCATCGCCTAGGGGTGGACAATAACATGGGTGAGAATCTGCGAGGGTGCACACCTCCCCTTGGAAGGCTGTCCCCGGCTTTCATGCTTGGATGGGGAATGGGGTGGTCCATGGGTTTTGTGGGGTTTATGGCACTTTTATTGCTGGTTCACCTGGGAGGTTTGGAGTATGGCATCGATCGAGACACACTGTGTGTACGATAGGGGTGCTGTTGGTGCGGTATGATACTGATACTAGTACATCTTGTTTGTTTACGAGGGTCGAGGGAAAAGAACACGGCTTCTGGTTAGAGTGAGGTGGCCTCCGTGTATAACTTATTGACCGGCGGACGCCAGGTTAAGCCCGGCTCCTCCGTCTATCTATCTATATACACCAAACACCACTCACAACTTCCTCGCCCAAGCAGCATGTACAATCCCGCTGACCTCGACCCTCCCCTCTCCATCTCTTTCCTGCCCCCTCACGCCCTTCATAATCTCATCAAACTCCCCCTTAACAGCTTTAACCCCCTCCTCCGGCTCCAGATTTGCAAAGTGACTCAACGTCTCAATCCTGCTCCACAGCTCCTCAGCGCCTATCCAAACCCTCCACTCCTCCTTCCACTCCTGCAGTCCGCCAAACAGGCCCCGCTTCACCTCCCCTTCCTCTTCAGAGACCCGCTGCCACAAATAATCCTTATACCTAACCACTCCGTCCTCCCCCGCGACCCTCCAATTCAACTCTCGCAGGCGCGCTTCCCATCCCGTACCCACAGCGTACCCGCACGTCTGGCTATAATCCTCCACGTTCCATACCAGCGCCAGCCACCCCGCGGGCTTCAGCACGCGCGCTATCTCGCGCAGCGCGGGGACAGTGGCGAACCAGTGGAATGCCTGTGCGACGAAGACGACCTCGACGGAGGCGTCGGGCAGTGGGATGCTCTCGGCCATGCCATCGAGGACCGTGACGTTCGGGAGGGACTTTGATTCGAGGCAGCGGCGCATGTCCGGGTGTGGGTCCACCGCTGTTACGCGGTAGCATTCTGGCTGTGCGGAGAGGAGAGTGGTGAATTTGCTAGTGCCGGCTGTGAGATATAGGACTGGGGCGTGGGGTTTGTTGAGGAGGTTAGTGGTGGCTAGTAGGCGGGTTACAATTGTTAGACTACCAGGTAGGTGGGGCGGTGGGTGTCGTAAAAGGTTGCGGCGGAGTAGGCTGTGTGGGCGGTCGCGGAGTAGGGAAGGCTTCCGCGAGCATTGTGTCAACTGCTGGGGGGTGAGGAGAGCTGGGCGTTTCTGTCATGGGTTGAAACTTGAAGAGTGGAGAGGCAACTACCGGTATTGAGACGGTGTTCGGCACGTCATGTGTACCTACAGGCTCAAAGTGGATGCCACAATCCTTGGCACTTTGGTCCACTACCCGCCGATCCCGACCTACCTCCCACGACAAGAAAACGATGGGTATCAGACGGCACCGTACCTAACAAGCCAGAGAAAGTATGTCTTCCAGACCAGTGAAAAGTAAACCGTCTCCCCACAAAGCAGGACAATCCCCCACCACGAGGACGATCATATACAGTAAATTTAATAACGACAACAACTCAAAAGGAGCCTCACATAAGCTTTCTTTGCAATTCTCAGAGGTGGTGAGTGTTGGGCTGGGGGAAGAGGAAACCAACCAAGCACAGATTCCGACTATCTATCTCGCAGTAATCGGCGGCTCACTCGGGTCCTGGGATAATCCGTGCTTTTCTTTTCCCATTGGGAGATCATCTCCTGTACTTTACGGTTACTGCACAAGACGGTGAAAGGACAAAGTGCGCGCTATAGAAGACCATACGAGACGGATGGGAGAAAGAGAGAAAAAGAAAAAAAAAAGGGAAGAAATGAAAAAGGAGCGGAAATGGTCGGGAGTCTCTGATTCGGGAATATAAAATACAATGACACCTTCCATAAACTCCCTGGAGATGGGGCATTCCTGGACCGCAGGCGGAAGCAGAGCTAGCTACCAATCGGGCAGATTGTTTCTAACCAACCAACCCACTTTGGATTTCAAGGGTTCCCATGCTCGGGCTGGTATCATAGTAGGTAATCATACAAAAGTGTTGTTGGGAAAAATGTAGCAAGATTCGAGTGATTCTCTGTGCGCCTGCTGGATTTCCGGAGATTTGTGGCTGGGGAAAGGGGGTACGGTACGCCTATTGGACAGTGCTAGATTAAGTACTGTACCGGTACCGGTACTGCAAGAATAGAAATGGGTGAGTCTTGTGCCAAGACGTTTGGAATTCCCCTCTTTGGATAAAAAGGGGAAGAGGAGTTATCGGGTGGGCATAGTGAGTCAGTGGTTCATAGCATGTCACTCGGAGGATGTGAGGGATCCCATGAGGGTGTCGGGCTTATGAGCGCAGCGGGGATGAGGCGTGATTCCCGGAGTGCGGGGGTGTACTCGAGTACATAGTCTATGTAGGATGGGCCTTCGTGGAAGAGCTAATTTGTGGCTAGCTGGTTAGATTGGGATTTGGTCCAAGTCAGGATTTGTACATTACTTTATACATGTTGGGATCATAGTTATTCTCACATGTAATTTATTGTACAACCCACCAAATTCCTTTAGGCTATGCCCCACCCCTGGGCAGAGCTTCCCTGGCTATCAAACCCGACGCAACCCCCCCCCCCCATATTGTGCACCTCCCCGGGCCTTTCGGAAATCGGACGGGGTCAACAACACACTTCTACCCCCACCTCCCATCCTCCCTCCAATCCAATCCAATCCGCCTTCCGGTTTAGAAACGCCCGCCCTTCACTTCTTTTCATAACTCACTACCTGCGCCTCCCGCCGCTTCCGATACCAGCCTTCGTGCCGGGGCTCCCAAGTTTAAACTCAGTACCCCGCTCTCCGTATCATTAGTATTTAGGCTCTAGTCACTCGTCACAGCTGGCTTGCGAGTTGGTGCACGGATGCCGCATGCGCCCATCCCGACAAATGGGGCTTAAGGCCCTCACCCGGCATAGCGGTGGTCGTCGCGCAGCGCAGTGCAAGTTTGAAAATTACCCTTGGGATTCCAGCTACCCCATTCCCCCTTCAGCATCTGTACGCGTGGGCGCTCCTTCGGGTCGACGTTCAAGGTCTCTTTTCCCCTTACGGCGTGGGCGTACGGGGAGGAGCCCGGGTAGTGCTTTCGTGTCAGGCTGCTCTGGGAAGTTCCTGTCTGGGCGGGCTCGCTCAGGATTTATGCCGCCCCTATAGTAGGAAGATGGGCTTGTGTGCTCGATCTTGGTTATCCGTTCCGGGAGATTGTGCGCACGCTCGTGCAAGAGAGTCCTGGAAGATACCCGTGACCGAGGGGAATTGCCATGTGAATTCCTGAGGGATGTGTTGGGCCCTTGATCGCACCGTTGAGGTCTGGAACGATCCGTATCTCGACATTCTTTTCACCCACTGGCACACCTTCCCTTGTTGCACGAGCCCGCCCTGGGGGGAAGCGCTCGGAGTGTTTGTATAGTGACTCCTAGTACAACTCGTCTTCAGGTAGGGCCAGGATCGTCTTGGGACCGAAAGGGGGGAGGGGAGACTCTATGATGTCGGAATGGGTTCTCCACACACATTGGTGGATTGACTTGTGCCCACCATCATCTAGGATCCAACGGCGGAGAGGCCGCAGAAGTTTACGCGGGTGAGTTTTATTCCTGGGAGCCAGCAATTTGTGAACATCGTCGGGAGGAGGATAGGAAGAGAGCCAAGAGCATTGTCACCGACGTCATGTGTCTGGGAAAGAGTGACTGGACGTGATCAAAATGAACGGGAAGTTCGTGGCGGGGACTGGATGATTTAAAGTTTTTTGTCGGGCGGCCCCTCAGTGCGTAGCCTTCCACTTCCACTTCACTTGGGGGCCATCTATTACTTCCACTAGCGCAAGTATCTAGAAGTTGTATTGTGACATAATCTCCTACTCTATTCCCTCTCCAAGGGCTAGCCGTATGAACTCATGTCGCAAGGACTGTCGAAATTGTTACTTCAATGTGATGGAAAGTATAGGGATGTCCGGATCCCTCCTATCCAATCTGGAGTATTATGATATGAGTGGTAATGCGAGCCATCTTGATGTATCCAGACCTGACCGCAGCTATAAGAAGGATGGACTTGGGTATATGTGCTATATGGCAGACAACATACCGTCTCTCTCAACAAATTGGTCTTTTCAACCTCCAAACTTTTCATATCTTGAGCCAGATTCCCTCCCTCAATACCTCAATACCGACTCTTTCTGCGTGACTTGCAACAAGAGCCAGAGCAGTAAAACAAGGGAACCCTCTGCCACCGACACCAGCGACGAGATCTGGATGCTCACACCGAGCTTAGCGTCTCTAAGTTAGCCACTCTCACGACCACTTCCGGCACGCCGAATACCAGCAGGCTGTGCCACTGGGGGGGTGGGGGGGTGCGCATTGTTCGGTATGTGCGGTACTAGTACAGTACAGCACGGGACTGGTATGATAGGGTGTAAAAGGAGGGATAAAGTGCAGCGTTGAGCTACTTTCGTAGATGAGATACCCGATGGCATCGCTTGGGAGAGAGGGGAATTTGATAATGTGGAAAGAAGAAAACGTGATATCCACTCTGGTCGGGATCCATGTTGATACAGCCTGTTTGTATAATAATTATTACAGACCTGTGGTAACTATATGGTAGTATCCTCCACGGGGGTTTGGCCAGTGACTTACCGTAGCTTGCTTCACCTGTCTGCGGTATTTCGTGGGACGCACTAGTACTCGTACAGTACAGTGTCCGATTCCTTGGCGCCAGTTCTCAGTAACTTTTCCGGGACATTTTCCCACTGATCAACTATTAGTGTCGGGGTACAGTATTATTCGCCTACAAAGCCGGCGCCCTGTCGAACGAGTTTTTTTTCTTTTTTTTCTTTCGGTGGTAGATATTTGCGGAAGGTTTTACAGCATTCTTCTACAAGTATTAGGGGTCGTACTCAGGCCATAATATTGTATTACTGAACCTTATCCGCCTGTGGCATGCCCCCACCCGCCACTCGCTGATATCAGTTCTGCAGTGGAGTAGAGCAGGAACATCTATCTAGGTTCCAATGATTGTAGGATTCTGGGTTCCCAAACATTGGATAAGGTGAAATTTTGTGCCTTTGATATGATACCGGTATAACACATACTATATGGAAAACTAAGGCCCTGTTTGGCACGCCAGAAAAATGCCATTTTTCTGACTTTTATGCCATTTTTCCATCATAAATTTTTAAAAAAAGGGAGGCATGTTTGGCATGCATATTAAAATGACATTTTTTTAAATTTAGTATTGTTTTTTTTTATGGCATTTTGTTTGTAAAACATATAAGGCATTAGGGTATAATAGAACGATAAAACAGAATAAAAAGAGCAATGATATGACTAATACAAGTATTATGAAAATGATAATAATTTTTAAAAAAATTTGTATATGATTTTAGTAAATATTCTAATTAGTTCAAGAATGATTTATGAAGAGTACAATGTAATGATCCTGCAATAATAAGCTATGGCAACCTACCTCTATGCCCATATATGTCACAAACTGTGACTAAGCAAGGCAGATTTTACATAGCTCGGATTTCTGAGCTATAGGTATGTTAGGATTTCATATGACCCACACTAGTACGTCATAGGTTATTATGCTTACCTGTTCGTGACTCACAATAGTGAGTCACACGATATTATGACTTTCGCACATGACTCAAATTATGAGTCATGGGTTTCACTCAGGTGATGCGAGTTGCACACCTGACTTGGTTATTAGGTTATTGGTTTTAGGTATGTAGTGCAACGACTCATAGGAGTCGGCTGATGGATTTCGCGTGACTCATAGTTATGAGTCACAAGGTTCGCGTGACACATAAGTATGAGTCACGTCAGGTGAAGAGCTACTATATAAAGGGTTACTAGGACCCCTAGTATTAGCTCTCTACACATTCTTCTTGTTTATTTCCTACCTTTAAGTTTTATCAATAAAACATACTTTTACACTCTTTAAGATTCATCTTAAGAAACCCAAGAATGGTCTTTCCTCCCACGTGAGAAAACTATTTCTCCTCCCACGTCGAACCACGAAGTCTAAAGCAAGGACTTGAGAAGAATAGAGGAATGGGCGTGATAGTATAAAAGTCAAAGGACTTGACTATCAATGTCACGTAGGCACAGGCCTAAGAACTATTACCTTACCCCAAGTTAAGGATCGTTACCTGTCGCATCACTTACCTGTCGGGCAGGATTCTTAACATTAGAACGTGTCTACAATGCGACACTTAACGATTACACAACGGATCCATTCAACAGAGACCACGAGGGAGACATAGATGTCCAAGACGACGGATTTGGACTGGAAGAACTAGAACAAGCGCTAAGCAAAGCAAGTCCATATTTGGCAAGAACTACAAGTCCAGTTACACCTGAACAAGTTACCTTTCTGGACGAAGAGGAGGTACCAGAAACACCGAGACCTGAAAGAATGTCAGGACCAGCACCACCCTTGGGTCCGCCAGGACCAGCACCCCCTCAGATGATTCCAAGGGACGAAGTGCAACAGATGATAAGAGAAGCTATAAGAGGAACTGGGCAACAACCTAAAGTCAAGACCCCACCACAATATGATGGAGAAAGAAGCAAACTACGAGGATTCATGGTCCAACTCTTGACCTACTTCGATGCAGTGGAAGGGACAGAGGGAAATGACCAGGACGAAATATGATATACTCTCACCCTATTTGAAGGAATAGCCCTAAAATGGATAACCTCTATCGTGGTCAGCAATACTACACCCTGGACAGACTGGGCCAGCTTCAAGGCAGTATTTGAAGCCCAATTCACAGACATAGAATTAAGCCAATCGGCAAGAAACAAATTGGAAGAAATTCGCCAAGGAATAAAAAATGTCACCGATTACTAGTACGAGTTCTGACTACTCCAGTATGACGCAGAGTGCGATGAGGCCACTGCTATGAGGTGGTTCATGAAAGCCTTGAAAAGAACCTATCAAGACGCCTGGAGATACAGCGAAGAAAGATTTACTAAAACCGAGGCAATGGCCAACTGGGCCATTCGAAAAGAAATCCAGTTCGGACAACTAGACTAGATTCAAAAGAACCAGTCAAACTCAACGCAAAACAACAATACAGGCGCAAGAAACCAAGGTACACCCAGGAACCAAAACGGAACCTATAGAACCACCACCCAAGGAGGTGACGTAATGGACCTGAACACAACAAGAAGGAGACCATCACTCAATCTTGCAAAAGACGAGTACCTCCGATGACGAAACAATAATCTATGCCTAGGATGTAGTATAAGTAGGCATATGATTAGGGATTGCAGACGACCCGCCAACCCAACTCCGACGCAAGGAAGAAATCAGCAAAACAAGGGGCCGAACCCGAGGTTCCAACAGCGCAGCAACCTAAGGGAGATCGAAATTGAAGATGATTATGAGACGACGGCAAAAGACGAAGGTTCCCAGCAATAGATGGTCTGCGGGACTCTCCGAAAGACAAACCTATCTCAATGACCAACTACTACACTCTTTTAAGTGCAGACACGAAAGATAATGACAATGATCATATCATGATCAAAACAAAAATATATAACAACAAAACGCAAACAGTTACGATACATGCGATGCTCGACTCAGGAGCTACAGAAGACTTCATCGACGAAGAAGTCTGCAGGAAATATCAGCTCAAAACCAAGAAAGCCAAAACAGAAAGACAGATTTACCTAGCGGATGGAAAACCCAGCGCAATGGGACCGATAACCCATACCACGCAAGTACCTATGGAAATTGGAAACCACAGGGAAGTGGCTACCCTCCAAGTGGCAAATCTGCAAGACCATGAGATAATTCTCGGAATGCCATAGTTAAAACAACACAATCCCACATTGGACTGGGAAGAAGGAAAAGTTACATTTACCAGTGAGCGATGTACGACATGGTGTCTCAACAGTTCACCAGTGGTATATGCAACTCCGGAAGAGAAAGCAAATCAAGAGAACCTAGAAGCAAGGTTCAATCAAGTTCAAGCAACGGATCAAAGGATCAAAGTTCAGGAATTAAGCCACCAGGCTAAGATACCTACAAAAGGGTCTGAGAAGGCGGCAGGTCATGACCTATACGCCAATGAAGAAGTCACAATACCAGCCAAAGGGTAGGTAGTCATCCCTACTAGAATAGCCATAGAGCTACCTCAAGGCACCTATGGGCGTATAGTACCACGCAGCAGTCACGCAGTCAAACATCGACTCACTACCAATGCGGGAGTAATAGACGCTGACTATACGGGAGAATTGAAAGTTGTCATAGTCAACCAAGGGAACCAGGATTATGAGGTGGACAAAGGCGACAAGATTGCGCAGCTGATCATCAAAAAGATTGATGAACGAGAATTCCAAGAGGTGACAAGCCTGAGAGAAACAATCAGAGGAACCAAAGGGTTTGGAAGTACGGACAACTAAGGTCCAACCAAGAGGAAACAACCAAAGGTCAAAATCAATAGGATATCGGCACAAGCATTCAACAAGTTCTACCGCAGAGGAGAAGCGGCAGGAATCCTTAAATGGGATATCCAAGAGGAAGGAATAAGTCTGGCCAAAATCAACATCAGTACAGAACTAGCCATAAGGAGTCGAACTCAAGCAAAAGAGGAAAGATTGGATCGAATAATACCAAAAGAATACCAGCAACACCTGGACCTATTCGAAGAAAAGGAATCAACCAAGTTACCACCTCACAGACCTGAGGTTGACCTGGCAATCGACCTGGAAGGATCCACCGCGGAACTACCAAAGAAAAGAATATATCCACTGGGAGAAACCGAACTTGAAGAACTAAGAAAATACATCCAACAAAACTTGGAAAGAGGATGGATTAAACAATCCTATGCTAATAGAGGATCACCTATCCTTTTCATCAAGAAGAAAGATGGAAAGTTAAGATTATGCATTGACTACCAAGCACTCAATGGCATAACTAAAAAGGATAGGTACCCCGTACCTCTAATTTGGCGAAGCATTGGACCGACTAGCGTCAGTCAAATACTTCACCAAATTAGACATATGGGATGCATACCATAATGTCAGGATCAGAAAAGGAGACGAATGGAAAACAACCTTTACCACGAAATATGGGAATTACCTATACCTTGTCATGCCCTTCAGGCTAACCAATGCACCAGCCTCATTCCAACGATGGATCAACAACGTGCTCCATAAGTACCTGGATATATGTTGTATTGTCTATCTAGACGATGTGTTCATATATTGCAAAGATATGGAACAACACAAAAAAGACGTCAGCAACATTATGGCGGACATCAAAGCATCGGGAATGAGATGCAAACCGAGCAAATACGAGTTCCACAAAAAGGAAATGGAATACATAGGATTCATCATCAACGGAGAAGGGGTACAAATGGACCTAGTCAAAACCAAAGCAATATGGGAATGGGAATACCTAAAAAACAAAACAGATATCCAATGTTTTATGAGATTCTGTAACTTCTATCGAAGGTTTATAGAAGGGTTCAGCAGAACTGCTAAACCTCTATACAACCTGACCAAAAAGAACGTTAAATGGGACTGGGGACCTAAGGAAAAGAAGGCCTTCAACGAGCTAAGGACGATGATTACCCAAGGACCAATACTGGTACACTTTAATCCAGAAAGAGAAACTATGATCGAAACGGACGCTTCTAAATATGTATGCTGAGGCATACCATCCCAGAAATGCGAAGACGGTAAATGGAGACCAGTGGCGT